CTGAGTCTTTATATTTTTCTTGTTTTTTATTTTGACTTGTATGATTGTTAGTTTCCTTTGTGGTTACCTTAATATTTACCCCTACTTTTCCAAGTTTATACCAGTCTTTTATTTCTTTATTTCGCCTTGACTTCCTCTCCATGTGAAAAATCTATGTCTACATTTTTCAACTCCCTCTTTTTTGTGTTAATGTTGTCATCTTTTACATATTGACATCTGTTTCCCCATTTTCAGTGTTTTAGCTTTGATTTAGTTTTGTGACTTCCCTATCTGGGTTGATATCTGGCTGCTCTGTCCTGTATTCTAGTCTTGGGTTGTTAGCTAATGTTACTGATTTTCTAATGGGAGGACTCCCTTTAGTATTTCTTGTAATTTTAGTTTGGTTTTTGCAAATTCCCTAAACTTCTATTTATCTGAAAATACACTAATTTTGCCATCATATTTGAGAGACATTTTTCCTGGATATATAATTCTTTTGCTGGCAGTTTTTTTTCCTTCAAGGCTTTATATATATATGATACCTTTGCCTTCTTGCCTGCATGGTTTCTGCTGAGTAGTCTGAACTTATTCTTATTGACTCTCCTTTGTAGATGACTTTTCATTTATCCCTAGCTGCTCTTAGAATTCTCTGTTTCTCTTTGGTTTTGGCAAGTTTGATTATAATATGTCTTGGTGACTTTCTTTTGGGATCTACCTTATATGGGGTTCTATGAGCATCTTGGATAGATATCTTGTCATCTTTCATGATATCAGGGAAGTTTTCTGCCAAAAAATCTTCAACAATTCTCTTTGTATTTTCTGTTATCCCCCCATTCTGGTACTCCAGTCACTTGTAGGTTATTCCTCTTGATAGAGTCTCACATAATTCTTAGGGTGTCTTCATTTTTTCAATCCTTTTATCTGATTTTTCCTCAAATAAGTTGGTGTCAAGTGCTTTATCTTCAATCTCACTAATTCTGACTTCCATTGCCTCAATTCTGCTCCTATTACTTTCTATTGAGTTGTCTAATTCTGAAATTTTATTGTTAATCTTCTGGATTTCTGATTTCTGTCTCTCTGTGGATTCTTACAGCTTGTTAAATTTGTCATTATGCTCTTCTCTAATCTTTTTAATTTCCTCTATTGTGTCTTCTGCATTTTGATTAATTTTCCTTCCTATTTTCTTGAAGAGTTCTGTGTATTAATCTTTTGTATTCTGCCTCTGTTAATGCCAAGAAATTTTCCTCCATTGGAAAATTTCTAGATTCTTTATTTTGGGAGTTTGCTGAAGACATCATGGATTGCCTCATTCTGTGATTTGATATTGACTGTTGTCTACCAGCCATCAATAAGTTATTATATTTATTTATTTTATGTTTGCTTACTGTGTCCTAGCTTTTTGTTGTGTTTTGATAGACCCAGATAGGCTGCTTGTATGAGCTAGTTTGATTACTGGCAGCTTTAAAGCTCTAATGTCCTGTCACCAGGTACTTAGATCTGTTACTAGGTATGCGAGCTCAGGAGTCTACCCTCTCCTCCTGTATGAATTCAGCTCAGCTGCCCAGGTAGATAGCCACCAGGAGTGTGGTGTAGGCTCTCACTTACAGTCCTAGACAGGCATGGGTGATTGGTGTAGCACAGGCATCTGGCTGCAGCAGAGGGACACACTCTGAGCAAGGCAGGGGGCTGACAGCTGCCCCCGAGCATCCAGGAGGAAGGCATGTCCCTGTTCCCTAGAGCACGTTGGTGGGTGGATTTTGCCATTGGACTATGGGTACCTAATTCTGTTGGCTGTAAGAACTGGGGGGCACCTCTTATTCATGGGTCCCTATTGCAGGTAGCTAGGTGGCGTGGTTGGAGCCACCAGTCCTCAGGCCCCAGATGTGGGTAGGTGAAGAAACTCCTTAATGGGCAGAGCAGTGTCAAATGTCAGGAACCTGCCACTTACAGCTGAAACAGTTGAAGTTAAAGTTCCAGTACATACCCTGTTGTACTGCAGTAATAAGGGCCTACGCTGCTGAGATGGGCGCACACAAGTTTATGCAGGGGGAAGGAGCACTCAAAGTCCATGGATCCCTTATGCTTGTGCCTAGGCAAAGGAGCTGTGCCTACCCTGGGTACCTGGCTTAGGGGAGCTGGCAGTTTATTTTGTCCCTGTTTGTTAATTTGTTCACTCTCCAAGGCAGGGAGAACGGCTCTGGGCATGTGACAGATCCTACTTCCAGCCCAGGGGACTCGGCAATTGCTGAAGCCAGTCCAGGACCCAGTGCAGAGCAGGGAGCGGGGAGGTAAATGGGAGAGAGTTTTTTCCCTACGGGGGGTGTTTTTGATCCACGCAGTAAGCCATACACAAGTACTTATCTTTCGCTGATCGAGGGTTTCTTCCCACTGATTCTGGGTGGCCATGTAGACTCTCTGGCAGTGGGTGTCTCCTGGTGTGGAAAACGTGCCTGCCGAGCACTGCTGCTTGCCTGCCTCATCACTGACCCACAATCAGCTCAGGCCTGAAGGGCTCAGGCTCTCACTGGGTTAGGTTTGGCAACTCCTTGCTGCTTCCGAACCATCTTTCCCTCCCCCTGCCACTCAGTCCGGTTCCTCAACTCTGCCTTTGGTGTTCAGGGCTCCCAGATTGCCATATATAATCAAATCACTTGTTTTTATGGGTCTTTGTTGTAAGAGGGTCCACTGGAAGCCTCTGACTACTCCACCTTCTTGGCTCCACCTCCATCCCTATTTTATAATACTCAATTTATAATGAATATTTTACTGTTTATTTGAACATATTTAAAATATATATTGTATTAGCAATTGTCTTTAAATGTTTTCTGATTATCTGTGAATAACTCACCCCCTTTTTTTTAATTTAATAATATATAGGGTAGAGAAGATTTCTTGAAAAAACTCATTCGAAATGAAGTGTCTACTTCAATACTGATTCAGGTAATACTCATTTAATTTCAATATTTTATTCTTCCTTTAATTTGCACTTTACTTAGCATTTTAAATTTGCCTGTAATGAGGCATCTTTTCACTACTTGCTTTGCAAGCCAGCAGTTTTCTTTTCTTAGCTGATGACAGTTGCCCTCTGTGTACAGCTAGCAGTGTCTGATCATGCATAAAGAAACTGACCTCCCATACACATATCTCATTTTGTGGCTTAATGGGAATTTCTGCCAGTCTAGTAAAAGGGCAGTGAGATCTTATTCCTAAGTGTCTAACTCTTTAGTTTGGTTTGTGATGATGTTATGTTTTCTTTACTTTTAGTGTCTTTCATTTGAATTTCTTTATTTAACCCTGAGAGACAATATGCTCTGAGATATTTCTTTATAAAGATTTTGAAACTAAAGCATGGTAGCTAGAAAAATTAATCTTCTTAATTTTTTGGTTCTTATTTTACTACTGCATATCCTTTACAAACACAGGTAGGTTTTTCTGGTCCCAGGCATTTTTCTAGGATGCCTCTCCTTCTAGTGGCAGTGGGAGAAAGACCTGGTGATCTGCTTCCACAAAAACTGCAGCCTAGGAAACCCAACAGGGCATTTCTGTTCTGTCACATGGGGCCATATGTGTTGGAACCGACTCAGTGTCACCCAATAACAACAATATATACATACTTGAAATTAATATTATAAGAAAAGTAAAATCAAGAGACAAAACAGTTGAAAATTAAAATTATTTGACCTAATCTGTACCTCTGGTCCTCTTTGAAGCAGACACAACATTTGTCACTTCTTCTATTGGAAAATTTGGTATTTTCAAACATATAGAAGTAGTGGTGCTCTGCTTCTATATGTTTTTTGACTATATCAAATTTACTAATTTATTTCTATCCATATATGCTCAATAATCCCATAGTCTACCCAGCTTTTTTTTTGCTTAACAATTTGTTGTTAGCCTTCCGTTCATTGGTTATATTTGATTTTACTTTGCAAGAATTACATGTGTTGCAGTATGTGCTGTTTGTACATTCCGTAACCTTATTGTTCTCCAGTTCTCACATAAGAATGTTTGATTTTTATTTTCTCTTTATTTTTTTCTCTCATTGCTTTTAATAATAACTGTAAATACACTATGTTTTTACCTGTTGCTTTTTTATGGTGGCATCTATCTTTTGCTTTTCAAATAATAGCAAAGGTCACTGACTGCCACAATATGAGGGCTCAATAAATGTTTAGGTAATTAATTACTGAATGAGTGATTATCTTTACTGGCAGAAAAAAATGTTTTCCCTTCAAGAAGTCCAGGGACAGGAAAAGAAGGATCTTATAAATAAGAAAATACTATATGCCCTAGCATTGGCACAGTTGGAGGAGCCACTGGTTGAACTAGAAGAAGAGGCCGTCAGAATCAGAAGTATCCATCAACAACATTCTGAAGTAAGCATTTGTAAATGAATCCATATGCTAACTCACAGGAATATTTAGGTCGGCAAATCGTGTGTGATTTAAAATTATTATTTGGTAAGTTATGATTTCAAATAAAAGCATAGACAAGCTAAGTAACTATTTCAGGGTCACACACACAATGATCCACAGTGGAACTATACAGTGAGACCATTTAATGCTATTATCTAGAATCCCATACTCTACCCAGAGCATACTCAAGAAAAGCAGTTTTCAAACAGGTGCTTAGTGACTTATTTAGTGTGACTGCCCACCACTGTAAACTTTATTGAGAAGCTTCACTATTTGTTAATTAAATGCTGAAGCTGTTTTTACCCAAATGTATAATACAATGTATCTTGACATTTTCGTGGTAAAATTTTGATGCATTTAGAAGACGTTAAGACAGCTAAGGTAAAAAATACAGCACACGAGTAAAATATTTACAAAGCAACAAGTTTATGGCAGTAACTGATATTACTAGCCCTTCCCAAAGAAAAAAATAGTAGAAAAAATATGTATGTATCATGTCATTAGTCTTTTTAAGAACTAGAGGGTGTGGTAAGTGTTATACATTCTTGTCCTTAGCTGCAACAAGGACATACATGTATTGATTTGGACCATTTTGGTAACAGGGTTTTTTTTTTTTTTCCCTTCTGCAAATGATGATGTAGTTTTATATTACCAGACTTTAATAATTTAAAAAATTCCTTCATTTAAAAGATATTTTGTGATTTATGAAGCATTCCTATTACCAACATTTATTTTGATCTTCAAAACCTTCCTATGAAATAGGCAGGAAGGAGTTTATCTGTATCGTAGACTTGAAGAAAACTTGGTCCTAAACAGGTTAAGCAACTTCCACAAGGTCGTAAAGCATGGAAACAATAAATTCTGGATATTCTACTCTATTTGGGACTTCTAAATGCTATCGTAATGCTCATGTAATAAGTATATAACTAGTACTAACACCTAGGGGGATAAATGATGTTAATAACAGCTCCCCCTTACATTAATAATGGAAATTTATTAATTGCAGCAAAAGCCTTGGTATAATTGTCTGAGTATGCTAATGAACTCCAGAAAAGATTAATGACATTTATTTCCCTTTATTTTATAACAGCTATTGTTTTATATCTTCTTATACTTCAGTAATCATTTTTGTTATTATTCTCTTTGATAGTGAATAAATTTAGTGTAAAGTTTTAGAAAAATAAGTTTTTACACACTTTTTAAATGTTTACTGTTGACAATTTGCACTTAGAGCTTTTAATTTTGGTTAAATATTGTGATGAAAATTTATAATTTCTATGTGAGTTTATTAGTTTTTGTTACTTAACAAAATTGATTAGCCTCAGTATGATTCAAACAGAATATTGGAATTTCAGATATTGTAGCATGTTTTTGTAATCCATGTGTGGAGTTTCTTTTCCTTTTGTAACCAAAAAAAATATTGTTAATATAAAAAAGTCACATGAGTACTATTTGGCCTAAACCAAGATAACTGGATTTTAAGCGCTGCACATCTTAATATTTGAATATCTTCCAGACAATTAATGATATAGTTGAGAAGAAAAACAATATTAGAAGAAAAGTGGAAAGAACAAAGAAAAAATTGAGAATGAAGGGGAAGAAAACTCGTGAGGCACTAATAGAAACAGAGGTAAGAGACTGAATATTAGAAAATAATTTTCAATTTGCTAGTTTTTTTTTTAATTGTTGTAGTTTAAGTGAAAGTTTACGTTTCAAATTAGTCTCGTATCCAAAAATTTATACATACATTGTTATGTGACTCTAATTGCTCTCCCTGTACTGTGACAGCACACTCTTCCTTTCCACCTCTGATTTTCCATGTCCATTCAACCAGCTCCTAACCCTCTCTGCCTTCTCATCTCACCTCCGGACAGAAGCTGCCCATTTAGTCTCATGTATCTACTTAAGCTAACAAGCGCACTCTTCATGAGTATCATTTTATGTCCCACAAGCCAGTCCAATCTTTGTCTGAAGAGATGGCCTCGGAAATTGTTTTAGCTCTGGTCTGACAGAGATTCTAGGGGCCATGCTTTCTGGGGTTCCTCCAGTCTCAGTCAGAGCTTAAGTGTGGTCTTCTTACTAGAATTTGAGTTCTGCACACCACCTTTCTCCTGCTCCATCCAGGACTCTCTGTTGTGTTCCCTGTCAGGAGGTCATTGGTGGTAACCAGGCACCATCTAGTTCTTCTGGTCTCAGGCTGATGAAGTCTCTGGTCTATGTGGCCCTTTCTGTCTCTTGGGCTAATATTTTTCTTGTATCTTTGGTGTTCTTCATTCACTTTTACTCCAGGTGGCTGGGACAAATTGATGCATCTTAGACGGCCACTTGCCAAGCTTTTAAACCTCAGATACCACTCACTAAAGTAGGATGCAGAACATTTTCTTAATAAACTTTGTTATGCCAGTTGACCTAGATGTCCCCTGACAGCATGGTCCCCAGACCCCTACTCCTGCTACTCTGTCCCTCAGTGTTTGATTGTATTCAAGAAACTTCTTAGCTTTAGTTTAGTCCAGTAGTGGTGACTTCCCCTGTAGTGTGTGCTGTCCTTCCCTTCACCTAAGATAATTCTTGTCTACTGTCTAGTTGGTGAATAACCCTCCCCCTCGCTCCCCATCCTCGTAACCATCAAAGAATGTGTTCTTCTATGTTTAAACCTTTTCTTGAATTCTTGTAATAGTGGTCTTATACAATATTTGTCCTTCTGTGACTGACTAAATTCACTCAGCATAATGCCCTCCAGATTCCTCCGTGTTATGTTTCACGGCTTCATTGTTGTTCTTTATCATTGCGTAGCATTCCATTGTGTGAATATACCATAATTTGTTTATCCATTCGTCCATTGATGGGCACCTAGGTTGTTTCCATCTTTTT